CCTTAGACTAGGAATAGCTAAGAGCTTGTTATAAAATGATTTGGCCTTAGATTAAGAATAAGTTAAGAGCATGGTTGAGATATTGAATATCAAATGACTTGAAATAAAATATTGAGAATATCATGAATGTTTGAATCATATATTGTGTGCATGATATCAAATGGTTAATTATGAATTAAGATTCAATTTATTTGGATGTTCGGCGTTTTAGATATGCTTACTCAGCTTCACCGCTGAGCGTGTAGTGTGTTTTATTTGCTACACGTAGGTAGGTAGAATGAATGATTGGCTGATTCCTGGCAGCAGAAGGGGCGAGACAGTCGTGGTGGATCATTGAACAAAATAAATAATTATGTTTTTATGAGACATGTTTAAAAGTCGCTTCCGCATTATTATTAAACACTCCGTATTTACTATAATTATGTTTGGAAATTTTATTTATGATGAATAAAGTTATTTGAAATGTTTTAAATTATACGATTACCAAGTTAATACTTTAGTTCGGAAGGGGCTGTAAACCTGGACGGATTAGGGTGTTACAATTTGGTATTTTTAAATACGATCTTCGGATCAATGTTTGATTTAAAAAATAATAATAATAATAATATTGTCAATCACATCCACGACTCTCGCATCCCTCTGCTCCAGGAAAAAGGTATGAGAATTTACTTGGTAAATAATGACTCTATTAGAATTCTCATTAAATAACAATTGATTAGTACTGAAACCGTATCGAGCGCAGACTCTAGTTGAACTTTTGTACTCAGTGTAGAGACAAAAGAATAAACGATATGTTTATAATCTCCTGATACGTTATCAACGTACATTTCGCATCGCAAGTGACGAAACTGATCTGCATCGCAAAATTGTACGAAAGTGAGACGACTATGAAGAAACAATAAATGTTGAGAAACATCTGTGAAGCTGATGTCAAAGATCCTCATGTGGACTCAAGACGGTCTAATTGTTGATTCAAACACGAACGTTTAGAATCAAGAAACTCTGTTATCTAAAGTATCCGATATTATTGTTTGACTCATTAGGACACATTATGCGATTACTTGATGTGAATCAAAATCATTCGTTAAGCGGCAATTCTTTGTAAAACATCGTTGAAGTCCCATACAAGGAAATCGACATTATCCTTAGTATGCATTAACTGACTGAACGTCGTTGCTGTTGTCAACTTGTGATGAAGAATTCCTCAAGTGAAGACCAATGATGGTAACCTTATAGAGGTGAAAGCAAAGCTGATTTCTAAACCGACCAAGTTCATCTCGAATATATATATGCGAAAACATCTCAAGTGTGAAATCTATTCGTGCGATACCCAAAAAGAAATATCTGAACTGAAGGAACATACCGAAAGTATGTCACCTCTCTGATATGAACTTCCTTATGTTTCACCGTTCAANATATTTCAACGAAGAATAGAATTGATGAACAAGTTCCGGGTAAACGGGGGCTTGGAGTTGAAGAAAGAAACTCCAACCTTGTTCTTGAATAAGTTCAAGAACGGGAACCGGGATGTCATCTTGTTTAAGGGTTCTTCCCTCGATGATATGTGGGTCGGCGTAAGCCTTGAACCCGGCTTGAGCATCAACTTGATCATTGGAAACAATTTCACTCATTTTGGGAGAAAATTGAGAAGATAATGACTTTTTGGGCGGAAAGAGTAAGAATTGATACCAAATGGATGGATTGAAGATAATACACGAAGAATTGAATCTAATTGATGATGAAAATGATGAAATTGGAATGAAAATACCTTGGATTGAAGGGTGGTAGAGAGAGACGGGAGGAGACGCCGGGAGAGAAAGGTCGCTGCAACTGATCGAAATGGTGCTGGTCTAGGGTTTTTAAAACAGTTTGACTTGTCGCGACGGTCGGTACCTAGGTACCGTGTTAACGGTACCTTGGTACCGTGTATACGGTACGCCATACCGTGTCCAGCTACCGTGCAGCTTTAAAAACCCATTCTTCTCTGCCGGCACCTATTTTAGGACGGGACCTGGGTACCGTCAGGGGTGCCGTGTCTCAGCTTCAAGTTTTGTTTCAACTTCTAGACGCGTGTTTTGAGCATTTGGACGTGATCAATTTATTTTTATGATATAATGTGATAATAAGAACCTTAAATTTCACTTTAATTCAAGTATTCCCATTTCCCGACAAATATGTAAAAATTGTTTTTCATCCAATGGTTTTGTAAACATATCGGCACGTTGTTCAAGCGTATTTACATAATCAATTTGAATGTCTCCCTTTCCAACATGATCACGTATGAAATGATGTCTTATTTCTATATGTTTAGTTCTAGAATGCAAAACGGGATTTTTGGAAATATTTATTGCACTGGAGTTGTCACAAAAAATAGGCACTTTTGAAAATTTTAAGTTAAAGTCACCTAGTGTTTGCATCATCCACAAAATTTGAGTAACACAACTACCCATAGCCACATATTCCGCTTCGGCGGTGGATATGGCGACGGAGTGTTGTTTCTTAGATGACCAAGATACTAGTGCATGACCTATGAATTGACATGTGCCACTTGTGCTTTTCCGATCAATACGACACCCTCCAAAATCGACATCACTAAAACCTATCAAGCTTAAATTCGTATTCTTAGGATACCATAAACCCATATTAATCGTTCCCTTGACATAACGAATTATTCGCTTGACGGCATTTAGATGTGATTCTTTAGGTGATGATTGGAAACGAGCACAAAGGCAAACGGAAAACATTATATCGGGTCTAGATGCAGTTAAATAGAGCAAACTACCAATCATACCTCGATATACTTTTTCATTTACGGGTTTTCCGC